TCCCCCAGAATAGCCTGTGATGGGTTTTGCAGACTAGAAGGGATATGTTTCCTAAAAAATCCAAGCAAATATTTGGGAGCAAAGTAATCATGTTTACATTATGATAATACCCAAGCATTCACTTGAAATCTAATGTGTGTCATCTCATTTAATAAATGTAGTCCAGTTGGATTAGCAATTATCAAGATATAAGGGCTGGTGAAATAAATGAAGCTTCACATGATAATATCTGTGGCTATTCAAATACATTTCCATGTTCTGAATTGAAATGAGATCTCCTATCACACAACAGTTAGCATATCATGTGGCCATTGGCTGACTCTAGGTTGCTGAAAGCCCCATTTGTGCTGCAGCAAGTTTATTCCTAGGAAAGGGTGTTTGAACAGATGACGATAATTGCATGGTTCTCCTAAATTAAACCTGTTAAGAATACATTAAAAATTGGAAACCTAATTTGCCTCCTATAATAGTTTTGTATCAGAAAAAAGATGGGCTGTTTTTGAATATGCTATTCCTATACTAGACATAGAGCTTGAAAATGGGGGAATTGTACATTGTCAGTATACAAGGGAAGTACTGTTTTTGATAAAGGAAGTGGGGAAATGATCTGATGCCCTTTTTGGCATGAAGTATGTGATGCATGTAAATTGATGCACCTTAGGAACACAAGGATTACCTAGCTGGATTAGACAACAGCTCTGTCTAGTTTAGCCTTCTGTTCTAGATGGGTTGTTGCCTTTTCTAAGCTCAGCCTCTGTTATATTGTTTTTAAATAACCCTGCTAAACAGACTTGACCCTTCTTACTATTTTTTTTAAAAAATCATCCTTTTAACTAACCCTCTTATTTTTTTGTAATTTCTCCCATTTAAAATTAAAGACATCTGTGATGGATTTTCTGGGTACTTTTAATTAATACATGTGAGGAACTTTACATTTTCTAGCACTTTGACGATATTACACACAAACTCATAGAACCATAGAATTGCGGAGTTGGAAGGAACCCCAGGGGTCATCTTGTCCAGCCCCCTACTATGCAGGAATCTCAACTAAAGCATCCATGACAGATGGCCATCCAACCTCTGCTTAAAAACCTCCAAAGAAGGAGAGCCCACAACCTTCCAAGGGAGTCTGTTGCACTGTCAAACAGCTCTTACCATCGGAAGTTTAATAATAATAATAATAATAATAATAATAATAATAATAATAATACTCTTGGTGGCTTCCAACAGAATATGAAAATACAATAGTCAGTCAAACATTAAAAGCTTCCCTAAACAGGTAGTTGTTTCTCTCTTTGACATCTGATGGGAGAGCGTTCTACAGGGCGGGTGCCACTACCGAGAAGGCCCTCTGCCTGGTTCCCTGTAGCTTTGCTTCTCACAGCAAGGGAACTGCCAGAAGGCCCTCAGCACTGGACCTCAGTGTCCGGGCAGAATGATGGGGGTGGAGTTGCTTCTTGTAACTTGAATCCCTTGGTTCTGGAGCAAGCCTTCAGAGCAGGAGAAAACAAGCATACTCCCTCCTCCATGGGACTGCCCTTGAGATATCTGAAGATGGTTATCATGCCTCCTCTCAGTCTCCTCCTTTCCAGACTAAACATACCCAAATCCCTCAACTATTTCTCATAAGACTTTGTCTCCAGACTCTTCATCATCTTGATTGCCATCCTCTGCACAAGTTCCAGCTTGTCAATATCCTCCTTAAATTGTGGCACCCAGAAGTGGGCACAATACTCCTGGTGTGGTCTGACCAAGGCAGAATCGAGTGATACTATTACCTCCTTTGAGCAGGACACTATGCGGCCTAGAATAGAATCATAGGATCTTAGCGTTGGAAGGGACCCAAGGGTCATCTAGTCAAAGCCCCTGCAATGCAGGAATCTCAACTAAAGCGTCCATGACAGATGACCATCCAACTAATAGCATTAGTTTTTTTGCCGCTGCACCACATTGTTGACACCGTTGGTGTCATCTGCAAAATTGATGACCACCCCCTCAATTCCTTCATCCAAGTTATTTATAAAGATGTAGAACAACAACAAGCCCAGAACAGAACCCTCCGGCACCCCACTTGTCACTTTCCCCCCGGCATAATGAGGAACCATTAGTGAGTGCTCTTTGGGTTTGGTCAATGAAGCATCACAACCATTTCATACCTTCTAAATGGTTCAAATTATTTGATGAATCACTGACTTCTTCTGCTGACCTGAGTTTCTGATCTTTCTTTGATTTTGCAGGTCAAAATCATGGCATTTGATTAATTTGTCAGTTTACTGAATTTCTCTAGTACATTTTCGAGCAGTTTTTTTTTAAAAAAAAGGTGACTGAAACTTCCTCATTTCAGCTGCAGTTAAAACAGTACAACTTCTGTCAGAGGTTCTTGAAATGGTGAGGTGGATTCCCCTAGAGAGCAAGTGGTACCTGGAGTAAAAGTGCAAAGATTGAGGGAAAGGATCTGGAAGCAGGTGACAACTCCTTTATCACCCAAGACCTGAGTAGATCGAATGCCCTCATACCAATCCACATTGGAATTGTAGAAACATTGCAGAGTCCTACCCCTTTAGTGGCACAGATGCTTGAGCTGTCATAGCACATAAATAATAAGTTCTCGTGTAATTGCTTCTTCAGGGGTATGTGCTGCTCTGATGAAGTTTTAAATGCAGAAATTATGTGGGTGGGGCTTCTGGTGTGGTCACTTACTCTCTATGCCATCTGAAGGTCAGTAGCATTAGTGTGGAGTGTGTGTGTGTATATAAAATAAATATGCCCCTCCTATGCAGTTTTCCTGTGATCACATAGAAGTAGCAACCATGCTGCTCAGGCAAGATAAGGATTGGTTCTAAAAGCATAATCTATAGATAATCGAAGGTTACTAGATGTCCCCGTTTCCTGGGGACAGTCCCCGGATTTACAAATCAGTCCCCATACAAAATCCATTGAAGTAGAAAAGTGTCCCTGGATTCATTGAAAACAGTCTGGTAACCTTAATTTAATCAAGCCTGAGTGTCTGTGTGACCAAAATAAATACATGTTCTTTTCCTATTATTTACCCTTGTCTTCACTTTCCTTCCTCTGATATTTCCCTCTGTGCTGAATTTTAGATTGTTTTGTTTGGGGATGAGGACTGAGAGGCTGAACCAAAATGTTCACAGAGAAAGTGGGTTTAGAGGGCAGATCTGAAGGAAGACACACACACACACACACACACACACACACACACACAACTGCAAAAAGGCAATATTAATGTAATTGTATGGTTGCCTCAATATTCCTTTTGTGTGGCGTTTTACCTATAAATGCATGTGTTCCTGTGCATTGTTTTAGCACTCTTATCACAGGGACTGTGATACTCTGTAAGATTGAGGAGGCACCTACACATAGCATCTGTGCACTATAACAGTGCAGGGACTTGGTTAGCAGATCTGAGAAGATATTGGAGGAAGGGACCATCTCTTACACTCACACTTGGACTAAACACAAAGCTTCTCCATAGCTAGAAACCTCAAGTTGAAGCATGGCAGCTGAAGGATATTTGCAGCATATATAGCCTGGCCACTTTCCCTGAAGATAAATAATTCTTCCCTCCTCTGTATTCAGTTGTTCATATGTTAATAGTAAATTATTTGTAAGTAATAAGTAAAATTGTGACCAAATTTTAAACACAAAATCTATATCAACCTCTTTCTTGTGAATTTCAAAGTCTCAGCAAAATATCACTTAAGTCTGTGAACCTTCTATAACTTTGGAAATTTGTAAAAAGACTATTACCATAGTTTACAACTTGCGTATGGATGCAGTAAACTTGGGCTTTAATTATTCAGTTTTCCTTCTGCAATCCTTATTTATTTATTGCATTTGCTTTATGCAAAATACCATTAAATAGATTCCACTTCTAAGAATTGCTTTTTTAGAATAGAATTGTTGCAGCCACACAGATAATTCTTTCTCAGATGTTTAAATAGTAAAGATTGACCATTAGCCCTCTTCAGAAATTATGCTCCTCATTTTCAGTGAGTGCATGAATGCCCTATCTCTAACCTCCATGTATTTCCTAAGGGTCTGATAGGGGAACCTGCATCTGGATGGTATTCCTATTTGGTAGTTTATATGTCTTGCATACACTTTCCCCTTTTTCTTTATTTTAAAAAATCCATGCCTCATTTTTTCATCAGAACAAGTGCTTAAGTTGTCTTAGAAACAGTGAAAACTGTCTCACAGTAAGATCTCATAATGCAACCAATTCCCTCCAAGCAAAATAACATACATAAGAGCAGCAGTAAAGCAACAGAAAGGTTCTCATCTTAGCTTCCTGAAGCACTGGGAGAATTCAGCTGTTTTTCTTGGTCATCTGAAAAACAAAATAAATGGTGCCAAGTGAATATGGAGGACATTTGGCAGTTGAGGAGCTGCCACAGAAAAGACCCTGTTCCAGATTTCTGCCTGCCTAACCTCCAGCGGCAGTGAGGTCTCTGATGGAGATCTCAATGGGCAGGCAGGTTCACATGGGATAAAGATGTTCTTTGGATCTCTCAGACTCAGGCTCTTTTGCACTTCATTGGTCAGAACTCAGCATTTTGCATTGTGCCCAGAAAGTGGAAACTGCTTAAGATCTTTTATCTCAGGTGAAATATGTTCAGTGTGGTGAGCCCTGGCAGCTGCTATACCAGAAGTAATAGTATCTAAAGTGTATTTGCATCACTGTATTTGATTTATGGCAGTGGGAACTAACTCAACATGAATGCATTTAATTTCACATTTCTGTAGTTTTGAATCCCATATCTTTCTGTAATGTGCTTTTACATTTAATGTACATTTCACTGTATGTTCTGGATTCATTACCTTTTTATTTTTATAGGGTTTCCTCTTTCCTTTTGTTATTTCTTGATTTAAGCAGTGTTGTTATTGCTTTTCCTATCTCTTTGGGAAAATTCCAAAACAGAGTAAGTGAAACTTTTCTTCTGATTTTTTTAAATAAAAAACATATCTCTTTTCTTTTTAAGGGTCCATCTTGCTGGGAAGATGTTCTGATTCCAAACAGAATAGCTGGTATTTGCCAGTCAAGAAACTGCAGTGGAGACGTAGCGGTAAGAGACTGTCAAAATGTAATGACTGTCAAAAAGCAACATGACTCACTTAGGGAAATTAAACAGAACTACTAAATTGTCTCAGATTGTATATTTTTAACATAACTATGATTGAAGAAGGTCATCAATTCAGGAAAAAAAGATAACATCATCAACATTTTAAAAGTGACATAGAAGTTAACTCTGTTGAGGTAGGAGTTTTCCCATGTGTGTTCTTATAACATGTCTACAGCCTGCCTCTGAATAGTCACATCACTGCTGTGGCATGAAAATGACCCTTGAAAAATAAGATAAATGTCTCTTTGAACATCTAAATACTATAAATGATCCTTCCAGCCCAACGACATGATGGAAAGTCAGCTCTTTTCTACATAAATGCTGTTGTTTTGACTTGTCATTTGTATCTTGTCCTTGATTTTTAGCTGCAGCGCCACCAATCCCCACCCCCACCCCAAAGTGACATTTGAAATGCATTTGGAGGCATCTTCTTGGACCAAAACACCTGTGGAATTAGGAGGGAAGCTAAGAGAATGTTAGAGTAGCAACACTTGTCATGGGGATTTTACATACTGTATCCCTACTTGCTACTATTGTTGCCTTGGTAAAAATCAAATTTACCCTGTTGTAGCAAACCAATTTTCATTTTCATGGAATTATGCATATTGTGTGCTTGCCGGTTTTATGGCTACTGGCCACAGTTGAACTAAGCACCTTTCCCATTTATTTTCTTAAGTTTATGAATGTACGTATAACTGTGTTAGATTGCAGTTGTTGTTGTTTTTTTTCCACAGGAGGGCTGAAATAAACATGATAACATTGTTCACACACTAACTCTTTCCTTTCTGAGTATTAACATTCATGTTCAGAGACATGACATTTGATAATATTTGAATATTTTCACAGTAGCCCAGACCAATCCCTAAAGTTTTCCAAACCTCTCCTATATGTGCTGAAGCATGACTCATGTCACATGTTGTTTCAAGTCATGTTCTAATACGTTTTTGGGATCATCACTTCTTTTTGCCTCTAGGGTGCCTTTTACTTACAGGAAATAGGCAACCGCTGGTAGGTAATTTGATGGATTACTAAACTCTCCGTATTATGTTGTAATCATCAGGCTACATCACTTGGATTATGTGTGCATTTATAGTCTCATCTATGATCATTGCAACAGTGACTGCATTTATAATGGGGCCTGGCACCATGCATAATTAAAAGCAGACAAAATAAATTCTGCTCTTGAAAACATTGTGGTAGCTGGTGGGATTTATAAGTACTCTAAAAAGGTTTAAAAGTTGTTTTCAATCCATCACTGGAAAGAAAATACTTCTGAATACTTTCTTCAGGGTGCATATTGAGTCCCGGCTGATATGGAGAATGAAGCCAGATAGCTTGGCTGCACCTTTTTCTGCAGCATTCTAGTTTTTTCTTGGGAGGAAAACCTGCTCCAAGATAATCCTTGATTATATCATGTAATTCTAACTGTAATTCTAACTTTAATCTATGATTAGAAGCCAAGATACATCTGGGTATTTCTCAGTCCTGGGAATACCCTTGCCTATGTTCTGATAACCAGAATCCAATTGCTGTAATCTTCTGAACATGTGATACCTTTATCCTGTAGGATTTTCACTGGGTATTATGATGGTAGGTTTTTTATTATCTGGTTGAGCACTTAAATTGATGAGGGGCACTATAAATATCTAGATTGCGATCTTAGACAACATGATTAGAGTTTTACCTCAGGATTTTGATGTTTCATGAGATAGTATAGTGCAGACCTAGTCATTAGAAATGCTGCTACCTTTGAATTCATTCTCTACATAAAATGCACATATGTATTTATATGCATTTTTAATCAAATGTTGGAAAATTGTGTTATCTGATTGATAGGCAAAACCCACCCATCCTTTAAATATGAAATTTGATGAATGTTTCCAGTGCAGTTCTTCAGCCAAGTCAAGTAATGTTTATACAATTGTGTATACCTGGGTAAAATGTGTGTAAAATGTTTAGAAATGTGTTTATTAGAAGAAATTTGCACTAAATGCTGTATATATATATATATATATATAAATATTTGCTTTCGTAGATTTTCACGGGTACAGGAATGCAGGTTTTGGTGTCCTCGGGTGTCTTCCCGTGTAAAGGTTGGGGTGTCTAGGCGACGTTTCGACGAGGTCTCACTCGTCATCTTCAGGCTGGTGCTTTCGGCTTCTTGTTACTGGAACAGAGCAGGATCTCAGTGTTTGAGTTCCTATAAATACTGTTGAGGAGGTGTGGTGTATAGCCTCCAATGTTCTGGGCAGAGAGGAAGTTCCCAGGCTAGTGTGCCTTTTCTTCTTTTGTTCCTTAATTACTTGAGGGATATCTTGAGTGATTTCTTGAGTGATATCCTGAGTACCACTTAGGTGGGTCATTAGGTGTGGATTAGTTGCTAAAGCCTTCGTGTCTTGACCTCTTGAACTTTGTGAAGAGTTTTTCTGAGAAGATGGCTGTACTGCACTTAGTTGTGCTCTGGCTTGGCTTCGTGTATAGGGGCGAGCTGTGGTTTTGTGGCCTGTGCCAGCCAGATCTGTGTAGGGATTGTAGGGGGGTGCAGCATCCGGAGGTGCCACCATGGTTTGGCTACTGGATGGTGTCTGTAATTTATCTGTGGAGAGGGTCTGGGTTTGGGTCTGGTGTGGTTGATTGGTGATGGCGTTCTGTGTGCCTCTGGATCTGGTGTCGGTTTTTGTGGGGAGGGCTAATTTCCAGATGTCTGGCAGGCGGGATGTGTCGTCACGCTTGTTCATGTTGTGAGGGTGTTTCTCTATCTCGATGGCTTCCATGATTATTCTCTTGTGGTGATGTTCCATGTTAAAGAGCAATTTGGAATCTGCAAAATTAATTTCGTGTCCTGTTTCTTTCATGTGTTGGAAAAGAGAGGAAGTTTTTTCTTCTTTTTTGACGGCATTCTTGTGTTCTGCGATACGTGCATTTATTCGTCTGTTTGTTTGTCCAATGTACGTGGCTGGGCAGACTTTGCAGGGTATTTCATAGACCCCTTGGTTTTCCAGTTGGAAAACAATCCCTACACAGATCTGGCTGGCACAGGCCACAAAACCACAGCTCGCCCCTATACACGAAGCCAAGCCAGAGCACAACTAAGTGCAGTACAGCCATCTTCTCAGAAAAACTCTTCACAAAGTTCAAGAGGTCAAGACACGAAGGCTTTAGCAACTAATCCACACCTAATGACCCACCTAAGTGGTACTCAGGATATCACTCAAGAAATCACTCAAGATATCCCTCAAGTAATTAAGGAACAAAAGAAGAAAAGGCACACTAGCCTGGGAACTTCCTCTCTGCCCAGAACATTGGAGGCTATACACCACACCTCCTCAACAGTATTTATAGGAACTCAAACACTGAGATCCTGCTCTGTTCCAGTAACAAGAAGCCGAAAGCACCAGCCTGAAGATGACGAGTGAGACCTCGTCGAAACGTCGCCTAGACACCCCAACTTTTACACGGGAAGACACCCGAGGACACCAAACCTGCATATATATATATATATATATATATATATATATACCAAAAAAAATCACCAACAGAGGTGGAAATGTGGAGAATTTTAAGCTGGAAATATGAGAAACTGAGACAAACAAAAAATGACAGATTTGCCCATTTCCAGTAGAGAACTTGCATATGACCAGGTGGCATCCCCCACCCCCACCCCCGCTTTGGAAATGCAGGCATACCTCAGAGATATTGCAGGATCGGTTCTGGACCGAACAATTTCTCCCCCCCCCCAATACATACAAAAGTTAGGTTTACAATATACTATAGTCTATTAAACCAGCTCCCCTGCTTGCAGGGGCGGGAGAGGAAAAACTGGGTTCCAGCCCTAGCCATCTCTACTCCCATGGCCAGAAGAGGGGCGGGGGACAGGCTGCCCCATAAGGAGCAATATCTGTAAAGCACAACAAAATGAGGTCTGCCTATAGTAGCTTCTATGATTTGTATCATGACCAAAGCAAAACCTCCTGTAGACAAATTCAAATAAAATCTTCTGGCTATTGCCTAATGGATATGTACTTTCTCCTCAAGGGTTCAATATTATTACATGCATTGTTCATTGGGGGAAACCATCACTGTACTAATTTTTCAACTCTGAAACTTGTAATGGGAAATTATTTTTAAAAGGCATTGTCATGTAAGGGAGCAGAGCCTTCCTGATTGTGAAATGAATGGATATTCCTGTCTCATTTTTAAAGAGCCAGGCAATTAAGTAGTCTCTTTTCCTTAGTCAAGTTGTGATCGGCATGAAAGCATCATCAAGAGTCTCTTTCAGAATCACACTTTTGAGAAGGTGAGCAAAGAGACAGAACTATGACCTTGCTGAGAGTCACTCTGCAGTAATTCAACCGCAGGGGACTCATCAGCCCACTGTGATGCACTGGAGAATATATCAGGCTAAGAGATTTATCCGGTCTCAGTGGGAAAATATTAGATACAGGGTTCAGATCAGTCAGAAAATGTTACATTCTGGATTTCTGGGCTCATGCAAATGACATTATTATCTAAACATGCTCTTGATCCTGTCTCTTAACTTGCTTCATGGGAAGTGCTTCAGTAATCCTGGAGGCTGCTGCTGGGTGTATCTGATTTAAGAGGCTCATAACATAGCACGTGTTTAAAAGGGTGATGGTACATGGAGGAGAAGGCAGTCTGCAAATCTAAGCGTTCCAGCTGCTTAGTTCTACAAGGTTAAAACACTCCTAGCACTTTTAAGAAAGAAAACACAGCCAGAACATAGGAAGCAGCCATATCACGACATGGGTCTATCTAGCTCAGTATTGTCTACAGACTGAAAATAGCTCTCCGGGATTTCAGGCAGGGGTCTTCCCCAGCCTTATCTGGAGACTTGAGTGTTACAATGTTCTGCATACAAGGCAGGTGCTCTACCAATGAGGCCTTTGTGAAACAGTGTGCCTTCCCTTAAACAGATGGTACAG